ACAGGGTTCTTTATAAACACTCCTGGAGGACAAGGTGCACGGCCATGCTTTCATCCATTTTGCTTCACTGATTTTAAATTCTACTTAAACCAAGTCAGAGGCACAAGTGAGAGGAGGAGTGAATCTGGGATTCAAATACATGCTCTGTACACCAAAAGGGGGTGCTATGACTTTTAAGCCACTTCAAGATTTGTAAAGCTGGGTGAGGTGGCACACCCCTGTAGTTCCACCTATTTGGGAGGCTGAGGTGGGAGGATTGCTTAAGTACAGGAGTTTGATCCAGCCTGGGCAACACAGCAAGATCCTGTCTCATAATTTAAAAAATAAACAAAAAGATTTGCAAGCAACTTAAGGACAAGATGGCCTCCTCATTTCTGTATTTGCCCCATCATTTAACATGGTGATTTGCACTTATGCATTCTTCATATGGGGGCGGTGGGGGGGGAGGATTTCTTTGAAACACTGTCAATTTACGTTTCCCCAAGACTTCAAAAATAGCTGAGAATAAAATCAATAACTGAATACCTTTCACAGTAGCAACCAAGACTTCATGAATGCAAGGAAGTAGAGAGGACGTGAATTGCATTCTCCTGGTTCAGACTTAACCATCTTCTTTCAGCAGCTTCCTGACTGGTCTTCCCACTGGCAGGCCCCTTATATACTCCCTCCGTCCCGCTGCCTGAGTGATCTCTCTGAACAACACTAACCTGCATTTTCTTAACTCATCCTTTGAGACAGCTCAGGTATTCTGCCCAAAAAGTCTTCTGACAGCCTCCTCCTTTCCTCTCCCATCAGGGCTGAGCTATGGGTACCTAGTCCACAGAAACTACTCCCTTAGAAATCTGTGCACAGCCCTGTGACTGTTCTTAGCTTAGGCCTATAACCTTGGTTTTATGTATCTGTCTTCCCAGCACAGAGGAAGTTCCTGAAGGCCAAAAACATGTCTTAATCATCTTTCTATCTCCAGCATCAAGCATGCTGCCTGGCACATGTTAGGAGCACAGCAAATGTGCACCTGAACAAATAATGCCTAACTCACTGTCCTCCCTGTCTTCCCGTTTATTTGCTCTCCTCCTTAGGGGAAAGGTTCTCCCAAAGTATGGCTCCATCTCTGCTGTGTCTCAGCCAAAATGATTTCTAGACCCAAGATTTCTCACCTCACCCTCACATCACACCACTAGCACAAGCAGACCACAATTGCCCAATCTGCAAAAACTATAAAACTATAAAATTTAACTTACAATCGCCCAAACTCTTCTGCTCAGTAGTAGAGAAATGGTTTGGCTTGCCCCCTTAATAAGGCTAAACATTAAAATAAAAGAGACAGGAATGCAAGAGACAATTCAAGCAAAGTACAAATTCCTTTAGTCTGAACCCAGTCTGGCACACAGTACATAACAGAAGTGGGGAGACACAAAAGTGAGGAAGCTGACAGCATACTTTTAAAGTGTTCCAAAGGGATAAGTCTATCCCACCTTTGAAATCTTTTCCTGTATGTAAAAGTATCATCTTAGACAAGAGATTTTCTTCCCCCTTGGGAGCAGATTTCTAATGTTATAATGAGAGTTGATGGGAAAATATGACTGATTTTTACTGAAATTCACTTTATGGTTTATTTTGCTATAACATTTTTCTATAAAGCTAAGGATACCTATTGAAAGAAAACAGCTATATTATTCCACGTTTGAGAGCATCAGTTTGACTTACTGGAAGTAAATCTGAAGCAAAAGTTTTCCTTCTGACTTTTCTCTTATGAGGAATTTCTTCCATTTCATCATCTTCAATCAAATCATCACCGTTAGCCTTCTCTAATATTGCCTCAGTCTCTGCCAGGGTTTTTAACCTTTGAGTTTCAGCCTCCTTCATTTGAATAACTATTTCACCAGCATCTATTTCCAAAACTTCAGATAAGATCTTTAGTATGGCATTTATGATTTCTGCTTGACTTTTGCATGGAATAATGTCCTTTAGATTCCAAACTGTGCCTGGGAAAAAATGAACACAAGGTTAAGAACTGCCTGTGAAATCTTTTTTTTTTTTTT